GATGGAAGGAATATACTTAGTTATTACACCAAAAAGAAATGGTCAATGATCAACCATTTCAAAAGCTAGCATATGATCAAGAGCCAATGATTCTGAACAATCAAGCCCAAGGTGTACTAAGGTATTGATAAAGAACAAGGCTAAGGGAATTGATGGAATATAATTGAAGTCTTTCAACAAGCTGATGCAGGACTGGAGGTACTCTCTCATCTATGCTGAGAAATTTGGAAGACAGTTACCTTGTCAAATATGGAAGACAGCAATATCTGTACCCATTCCAAAGAGACGTGACTCAATGGTGTGGACATCATTAGTCGTTATCACTTGCAAGTAAAATTTTTCTAAAGATAAGACAAAACCAATTACACCAGTGCATTGACAGGGGACTACCAGAGATTCTGGTAGACTCAGAAGAGGATGTGGAACAAGGAATATCACTGCTGATGTTAGCTGGATCTTGGCAGAAAGCAGAGTATACCAAAAATATGCTTACCAGTGCTTTATTGATTATGTAAAGGCTTTTGACTGTGTGGGTCATGACAATCTATGAACAATCTGTGGAGATGTGTACTCTGGAACACTTAATTGTTCTCAAGAAGAACCGTTACATAGACAAAGACGAGGCAGCTGTCTGAACAGAACAAGAGGACACGGAATGGTTTCAAAACAGGAAAGGTGTATGCCAGGGTTGTATTCTTTCACCATACTGATTCAACCTGTATGCTGAGCAAATAATCTGAGAAAGTGGATTATATGAAGAAGAACATGATATCAGGATTGGAGGCAGGCTCAATAAAAACCTGTGATAGGCAAATGATATAACCTTGCTTGCTGGTATTGAAAAGGACTTAAAATACTTACTGATGAAGATCAAAGACACAGCTTTCATTATGGGTTGCATCTCAATTTAAAGAAAGCAAAAGTCCTCACCACTAGAGCAAGAAATAACATCATGATAAATGAAGAAAAAAATTGATGTTGTCAAAGACTTCATTTTACGTGGATCCACAATCAACAGTCATGGAAGCAGCAGTCAAGAAATCAAATGGTATATTGCATTCAGTAAATCTGATGCACAGGACCTCTTTAAAGTGTTCAAGATCAAAGATATCAGTTTGAGGACTAAGGTGTGCCTGATTTAAGCCAGGGTATTGTAAATAACCTCATATGTATGTGAATGTTGGACAATGGATAAGGAAGAATATAGAAGAATTGATGTATTTGAACCACGGTGTTGCTAAAGAATATTCAAAGTACCATGAACCTGAACCGCTAGGAGAACAAACAAATCTGTGTACAGTGAATGCTCCTTAGAAACCAGGATGGTGAGACTTTGTCTCTCATACTTCGGACATACTATCAGGAGACACCAGTCCCTGAAGAAGGACAAGGAGGGTCAGCAAAACAGAGGAAAACCCCAAAAAAGATGGATTGTCAGTTTCAGCAGCAATGAGTTCAAGCATAACAAAGATTGTGAGGACGGTACAGGACCAGGCAGTGTTTTGTCTTGTTGCATATAAGGTCACTTTGAGTTAGAACTCACTTAACAACACCTAAAAATAACAATTTGGGCAAAGTGGAACTGCTCCATAGGATTTTCAATGACCATGACCTTTTGGAAGCAGATCTCTGAGGCACTTCTGGGTGAATTTCAACAGCTAAGCTTTCAGTTAGTAGCCAAGGATTTGTTAGGGAATACCAAAGTACTCCCTAACATTCACATATTGGTAACATTTTGTTTTTTTTTTTAACACTAGAAAAAATAACTGCAGACTGTAGGATCAGCACTGAACTGCAAACCACAAGATTGGCAATTAAAACCCACTAGCTGCTACTTGGAACTCATATACAGGGTGGCTGGGAGTCAGAACTGATTGACAACACTTAATAACAACTACAGCCACTGTTCTGTCTTCAACCAGTAACTAACTCTAAGACTAAATATCATTGTAATGGCTGAAGCCTGATATTTATTGATTTTTATCAAGTTCAAGTCTGGTTGGTGGTTGATAGGGAAGGTTATTACTGTGCAGATTGTCAGGAGTGACCAGTCGCTGGAGAAGGACATCATGTTTGGTAAGGTGGAGGGTCAGAAAAAAAGAGGATGATCCCCAGCAAGATGGATTGGCCAAGTGGCAGCATCGATGGACTCAAGCATGGCAACAGTAGTGAGGTTGGCCCAGGATCTGGCAGTGTTTCAATCTGCTGTGCATAGTCGGTGCCGACTCGATGGCACCTAACAACAACAACAACAACAATAACAATCTAAACTTTAGTCAGGAGCTAAATAGTTGTATTGTCATGGTTCATTAGCAGACATACGAGTTTTATGGTCTGAAGTCTATCAATTTAAAAGTATGGCTACATGTTTAAAAAAAGCAAAAAACAAATAAGCAAAAAAAAATCCCCACATTAAATGTATATCTCAGAAATATCTATCTCAGTCAAGTATGGTCCTTTTGCTATGGAGTTTTTCTTCAGTTTCTTTATATTTAGGAGTCCTCGTGTGGTACTGTAGGATCAGCACTGGACTGCTAACCACAAGTTTGGCAGTTCAAACCCACCAACTGCTCCTTGAAAACCCTAAACAGGGTCACTTTGAATCAAAATGGACTTGATGGCACTTAACAACAACAAAACAAAGAAGGGGAAAAGCATTCTAAGGAAAGCAAATAGTTGGAAAGTATTTATTAAGAGCCCAGCTCTCTTATCACTGAGGTTGGTGGTTCTTTTTTATTATAGACCTTTGCATTATATCTTACACATGAAGAATTGTCCATCCTTGTAATAGTAAATAAAGGCACTATGGACTATTTGTTGTTTGCTGATGTCAAGTCAGTCCCTGACTCATGATGAATCCATATACATCCTGTTCTATTCCTGTGATGACTGACTATACCATTGGGATCCATTGTACTTTCATTGACTAGTTTTAGGAAGTAGATGGTTACAACTTTCTTCCTAGTCCATCTTAGTCTGGAAGCTCTGCGGAAGTATTTTCAGCATGATAGCATACAAGTTTCTACTGACAGATGGGTGGTAGCTATGGATGAGGTCCACTGTTCAGAAATCAAACCTGGGTCTCCTATATGGAAGGAAAGAATTCAACCAATGTCTTACAGACTATAAGCAAGTATTTATTTCAATGTATTAATCATTTGATATCAATGTTTGGTCTGAAAATAGAATAGTAAGCTTGAATATATTTGCTTTAGACATAGCAAGGCAAAAGAATAGATCCAATTTATTATTTGTCATTTTCCCAAAGAAAAAGGGACACACATGACTAAGAAGATGGCTAACTATTGAAATACATGATTTTATTGCTGCATATTCTACAGGGGATTTCCAAAGAAAGAACCTTAGTTTCAGATAATTAGTAGATATGTAGTTCATGTTTCTTAACATTCCAGCAAAATCAATACACCTTAGCTCATCAGAGTGGGAAAGTGGAGAAGGAATTAATACATACTGAGTATCTACTATGTGTTACGAAACTTGCAAATATGTTTGTATCATTTAACCTTTAAAATAATCAAAAAATGGCTAACTATTTTTGGTGGTTATAGACAGAAAATTGTAACAATTTAGCAAGTTACCAAGGGTCACAAAGATAGTTAGGGATTATAGCAAATAAAAACTTACTTCTCAAAATACATGACTGGGACCTCCTAAAAATTAGACATCGTAAGATTTCACCAAAAGAGTAAAGAGAGAACCAAAAGACTGGGGAAAATATTTTGGCAATGACTATCAGACAAGGAAATAATCTCTAAGATTTTTAGAACACATTAACACCTCAATAAGAAAAAGAACAAAATCCATTTTAAAAATGGGCAGATGACATGAACACTCTTCACCAAAGAAGACATTCAGGCAGCCAAAAGACATATGAAGAAATGCTCGTGATCATTAGCCACTACAGAAATGCATATCAAAACCACAATCATCTCACCCCAGCCTTAATAGCAAAGTTCAATAAAACAGAAAACAACAAATGCTGGTGAGGGTGTGGAGAGACTGAGACCCTCCTACACTGCTGATGGAATTGTAAAATGGTGCAACCACTGTGGCAAACAGTATGGTGCTTCCTCAAAGAGTTGCAAATAGAAACACAGTATGAGCCAGTACACCCGCTATTTGGCATATATCCTGAAGAAATAAAAAAACATGATATGAAAACTTTTCTCTATTTGAGTCTCCCACACTTCCTAATCTAGGTAGGCAATGGAATGAAGTAAAGACTTGGGAGTTTGAAGTGAGCATTCTACTTCCTAAAACCAATTTGATACAAAGCCATCCACCTTCCAGTTGTAAGGTGTTTTTTTTCTTATTTATAAGATAATAGTAACAGTACAAGTCCCTTGCCACACAAGTATTATCTCTAAAGATACATTAAATGCTTTAGAGTGCTACCAAATTCCAGGGAGAAATAAATATACAGTCATCAGTACCAGAATTTCACCAAAGTTAAAAATTGTAGCTCTTAAAGGAAACATGAGAATTACTGGGCAGGTTAAGTTTCTTTTAAAACATGATCTAATTAGATTAATGAAGTCCTCGTGTGGCAGTGTAGGATAAGCATTAGCATGCTAACCACAAGGTTGGCAGTTCAAACCCACCAGCCTCTCCTTGGAAACTCTTTATAAAGAGTCGGAAACAACTCAAAGGCAATTAACATCAACAATTAGATTAATAACAAACATACAGATTTGTAGAACTCAAAGTGATAAAATATAAAATGACCATTTCTACTAGAAATTTCCAGCCTCAGAAGCCCTATACAAGGTCACTGTGAGTCGGAATCAAATGTATGGCACACAATCACCACCACAACCTCTATAAATTTCACCTAGTTTTCCAGACCTTATATTCTTTTCACCCATTTTTTTGGTCTCTTGTCAATTTTTCATTATGGTACTTATTTGACTCAATTAATAATTGTGATGTTCTTTTTACATTAGGGGCAAACAATGAAGATATTAAACAGAAGGTGTTACCTAGAATGCAAAGACCATCTGTGCAGTTTTCAGATTCCTGGCTTAGACCTTCACAGAATTTGCCCCCATTTCTTGGGGCTGGGGCTGTGCACTCCCGGATCCTCAAATGCTCACACTCTGGGCTGCAGACTGACCATTCACTCCACACTTCCCAGCTCCCATCCACTTCAAAGAGAAACAAACAAAAAAATATCATTAGGATGTATTGGGCAGCTGTCAGTTGACTCGCCTCAGGACTGCTGTTGCTCTTAGATTTTAAAGAAATAACCACCACCACAAAACAAAATAATGTATCAGTTTATATTCTCTCCACCTTCTCTTTCCTAAAGAGATGAACTAACAAGAGCAGTGGTGTGATTCTCTTGCTATTTTAAGATGAGACCAATTACTGAATTTAAGCAAGTATTTGAATTACCAGTGCCTTTGGGTTGGCTAATAATAACATTATCTATTCTTTTTCTGTCTTTCATGCCCAAGTGCATCCTAGATGGACAGATAAACTATGTGCAGTAAACACTGGTAATCAGCCACTTCTTTCAGGGCTGACAATTTAGAAAAGAAAGTAAAACGAACTATTTTTAAGGCCTAAGAACCCCTAAACAATAAGAAGTTAAACCCACATATAGTGATAGTATTAAATGAAAACAGGTCAGTCAAACCCCAAGACACCAGGACTTACATAAATAGAATTTCTTGGGTCATGGATTGCTGCTGTATGGAGAAATGAACAAACTAACTTTAATTCTACTAAAAATCAACCCTAGAGATTACGGTAGCTGTTTGAGGCCATTGTTTCACTCTCTCCTAGGAATAGTCCAACCATGCTTATGTGGGTTACTTAAGATATTGCAATTTTTAATGTAACGCAATTGGTTCATAGTAGCGTAATATAACAAATACTGAACTTGAAGCAAAATGTCTGAGTTCTTGTTCTGGTTCATTCAACTTGTTGGCTGAGCAAACCTGGGCAGGTCCCTTAGTTTCACATTGACTTCCTGTCAGCTGGGGATATTAAAACTCACAACACAAACTTAAATGGCATTATATGCATAAAAGTATCTTACAGAGTATCTGGCACATAGTAAGCACTCAATAAATGTTTACTGAATATGAATCCAAACTGAAACTCCAGGAAGATGCTGCTGGTGAGAGCCTCACCTTATCTTTGAGTGAAACTAAATTTGAAAATGTAAGGAAATGCAACTCTAGTCCAGTGTCCTTGAAGTTAATGTTCTGTAGTGTTTCTGAGGCCCAGGATCAATTTATTTCTCAGTGAGAGGATATGCTTTCCATAAAGAAAGTCATCTTCCATCCCATCTATTTCTCATTGTATAAATTGGGTTAGAGTTAGTAAGAGATGAACAAAGGAACTTTAAAAAGCCATCTTTGGTAAATGACTTCTCTCTATTCAGAAAGGAAGGCAAGCATAGATCAAATGTAAAATATAGACTGCTGTGATTGTATGCAGTCTTTGCCAATTGTCTTGTAAATAAATATAAGGCTAAAACTGATAAGGTCTGTTAGCTGATTGGTATCCCATGATAAAGGGTCTATTTTGTTTATTTGTTTTGCACCTGCTGTTTTGTGCTTGCAGAAAACTCACCTAATCTCTTCTAGCTATTATATAAATGCATGCCACCAAATGGGAGAACCCAAGGAGAGAAGGGGATGGTTGAGTCCAGTCAAGCACTGGTAGACAAAAATACTTCACAGCATTTGATTTATTGACGGTTAGTGTGCAATGCCATCTCAGTGTTAAAAAAATATATATGACCCCAAATATTGAACAGAGGTTATCTCACCATGTTCTTGCCATTACAATGAGCTCCATAGTAGCACCTTGGACAAAGGCTCCATCATAAAACATGGGAGAGGGTAACTTTGGAAAAGAAGGCTATTGATTGTTTCACACCAGCTTAAAAGTGTTGGTGGATCAGAAGGGAAAATGGAATCTGCATATATCTCACCAGGACAAAGAGAAGTGCAGGTTATTTTCTGCACTGACATTCCCTCACAAAAGGCCCCACCATTGAGAGGAGCTGGGTTGGTGCAGGTCCGGGAACGTTTCTGCCATCCTCTACCACAGCGAACATTGCAGGCTGACCACTCTGTCCAGGAAGACCAGCCTCCATTCACTGAGAGAGAAAAATGGGGAGGGGAGAAAAAAAAAGGAGAGATGTTTTTACTGATTGCCTACTATGTGCAAGTCACTGTGCCAGGTGTTGTGAGTTAAGCATCTGGGGGTCAAGAACCTGTTGGACCCACACTTGCTCCTCTGTCATGATGCAACAGTGGAGTTTACCTCACCTCTGCCCCTCAACCTACTCATTTGTGATAGCAGGGAAACTGAAGTTTTGTTTTGCAGGGAAATTATGAAAAATAGAAAAAACTCATCAAAATATCTCGAAAGCACTTGAAAATTCATAGCATAATAAGGAAAGATCAGCATTTGAAATTCTAACACTCAAAGTGCTTCAAAATAAATCCCAGGGCTCTGCTATTATGAAAGAGAATACCTTTACTTAAATACTTGGGAACTTCTTTTGCAGAATACCTGAAATATTCAGCAAATAGTAGTGTTTGTTTTGAGTGGATTTCATATGCCAGGAAAGGAACTGACTGACAGCAGGTCTGGGGAGGATGAGAGTTGATGTTGGGGTGGGGTGGGTTGGAAAACAGAAATTGCCCATTTCAATTCTTTTCAAATATCAACACAATAGTAGAAAATAAATAATGTTTTATTATGGTAAAGAGAGCGAGAGATTGGAAATGTCACCAACTATCTCATGATGTCCAAAACTGGAGGGAACAACAAATACATTAATAGCAATAGGAAGAAGGAATGTTTTCTCACCTGCCATTGAGGAGGCAGGACACAGAATTGCAGTAGATGACTGCCAGAGTCCTTTTAGCTATGAGCATTAAAGGTTTTAATACAAAGCAGAGTCTCTCTTATTGTTCTGTTTTCTACCCTCCCAATCCTTTCCATGGCCTTTGGGCTGGTCTTACCATAAACCACCACAGTGGCTGAAAGGCTCCTCCTCTTGGCCACAATGTTGGCTGCCATGCAGGTATAATTCCCGGAGTCGGACAGCCGTGCCTGTCTGATGATCAGATTGTGGTCGGCCCGTGTGTCAATGTTCTCATCTTGCTCAGAGTCAATGGGCTCCTCATTTTTCAGCCATTCCACCTGAAAGAAGACATGAGTATAAACTGACACATCAGAAAATAAGGATGCTTTTCTGGAATTGGAAAGTGGGGTGCTCTGGTGAGAAGCAAAATACATGTTGCAACATAAATTGGGTTTTTTTCTTTGTTTCATATCTCATCTCTTTTATGTAGTAAATTTGATGTTTTCAGGAAATGAATACTGAAGTTAGTAAAATAGAAGCAGGGAAATAACATAAACATCCGACTGAGTTTGACTTATTTTCTAAAAATGTAATAGAAGAAGGGAAAGAGGTGGCTATAATTAGGTTATTTCATTACATTTAATTTTATTACAATTCTGATGATGGTGGTTCCAATAATTGGTCCATAATGGAGCTCAGAAAATCAATAGTTATATGCAGAATCTGTACTCTGTGCTGAGAGGACATAATGTTGTTACACAAGGTTTTCAGTCAATATGTGCACCTGTAAACATGCTTTAATAAAAGCATGAGAATGTATAAAGGCAGCAGTAATACAGATTTGGGTAATCATAGACACATAGATTGAATTTAAAGTTTAGGGTTTTCTGGGTTTAGAGATGTTTCTTTGGTGACCATTGTGTTACTCCTTCAATGATTCAGGCACTTAGGATGATCTTGGATTACTAGGCTCTTGGTGAGGCATCTAGACACATTTAAGTTTCAGCCGCTGTTTTGAAGAAGATTACCTTTTCTGTCCTGTGGTGAACACAGGCTACTCTCAGGTAAATTAATCTACTGTCCTCTTCCTAGTTCTACCTTAATCCTATCCCTGGGCCAAACTTCTGTTTCTTTGAACACCCAAAGAAGACACAGATGCCAGTATTCTTATGCCTGGATGCTCATCTATCCCAAGTTGAGGTATACCACCTTAGGTTCTCTATTTCATTATGCAGGCAGGTACTCAAATGCCAACCTAATGGCACTAGACACACCTCTTGTTAATATGCTGAACTGCAAGGTCGGTTTGAACCACAAAGTGGTCAAAATTACTAGCCACTCCTTGGAAACCCTATGCAGGGTTGCTATGGGTCAGAACTGACTCGATGGCACTTAACAAAAACAACAGTACCCATTAGGGTATGTAAAGAAAAGTAATTTAACAGATTGACTACCAAAAAATGTAATTTAACAAGAAAGCAACAGTCCTGGTGTGGTGTGTGGCAACGTACGATAAGCACTTGACCTCATGGTAGGTTTATACCACAAGATCAGCAGTTCAAGCTCACCAGCTGCTCCTTGTAAACCATGTATGGGATTGCTGTGAGGCGGAACCAACTTGATGGAACTCAATAATAGCCATTAGTGTATGCAAAGCAAAGTAATGTAGCAAGCATGCCATCAAAAAATGTAACTTAATAAAAAAGTAACAGAGGTGATTGCACCAAAGAGAGCTCCCATAGAAACATATACATCAGGGGGCATTTCTGTACAACCTGCCCATCATTACCATATACAATTGAAAGTTGGTTTTTAAATAATATGCCTCATATCATGCCTGTGTTTAAATTTAAGAAAATCTAATTTATCGCTGATAAACAGGTGGCATGTTGTACATAACAATTTGTTGCTCTCTGAAAAAAAAAAAATAAGTGTATTCAGAAGAAAAGCTATAAAGATCCTTCCTTGTTTATCTCAACTACTGTCCCATTAATGAGAGCTCAGAAGACCAAAAATTGTCATCATTCAAAATTGACCCTAGCATAGTGGTTACGAATTGGGCTGCAAACCGCAAGGTCAGCAGTTCAAAACTACCAGCTGCTCCGCGGGAGAAAGATGGGGCTTTCTGCTCCTGTAAAGATTTACAGCCCCGGAAACCCTGTTCAGGGTCACTATGAGTCAGAACTGACTTGACGGCACTTAACAACAACAACAGAGATCAATTTTAGAAAAGAAAATGATAGCCAATAACCAAAAGAAGAGATGGGAGGACTACTTTAAAAGCTGTAAAAGCCGAGTGGTGCAGTGCCATTAAGTAAAGAAGCAAACAGCCCAACCAACTTCTGAAGTTCCTAAGAGCATCACTCCGTTAAGACCAGCGGAAGCAGTAGATAGATACTAATAATGATGTGGAGTCAAACATACTCCCCTGTTTAACAGAGCAGGACCATAGATGCAATTTTTACAGTACATCTCACCGCATGCCTGTGACACAATGTCCCCTAACTTTCCACTGAAATTGCATATTTCACAGTCATTCATTTGTTAATTTGACAGATAGTCAAATATTGACTGAATGTCAGAGGTTGTATTAAGAGCTGGGTAAAAAGCAAGATGATAAGAGTCTTGGTGGCAGTGTGGTTACAGTACTCCACTGATAACTGAAAGACTGGTACTTGGAACCCACCAGTCCCACTCCATGAGAGAAAGATGTGGCAGTCTACTTCCATAAAAATTTACAACCTTGGAAATGCTCTGGACAATTTGACAGGCTAATTATGCATCAGAATTGACTGGAGAGCAGTGGATTTCTTTGTGTGTGTGTGTTTGAGAATAACAAGGTAACCAAAACCAGTATGGACTCTTTTTTCATAGATCTTACATTTAATGGGTAAATTGGAAAATAAATTAGTAAATCTATATATGTAAAAAAAACAAACAAAAAACTAAGACCTAGAAGTAGCATCAATATCAGTATCTGGGATGAAACATTGCAAAGCCAATGTTGTTGTTGATTTCTTTCAAGTAGGTACTAACTCATAGTGACTCTGTATAGGATTTCCAAGGAGTGGCAGGTGAGTTTGAGCTTCTGACCTTGTGGTTCACAGTCCAATGCTGATCCTATAGTGCCACACCAGGAGTCCAATAGAATTGGGTTTTAAATACCACCGTCAGGTCTACATCACTACAAGTCCCCAGGTAGTATAAGTGATTGGCTGTTAAGTGAAAGGTTTACAGGTTCAAGTTCATCCAGAAGTGCCTCTTGCTAGCTTCTACTGAAATATTAACCATCAAAAATCCCATGGAGCACAGTTCTATTCTGAGAAGCTTATGGATTGCCAGGAGTAGGAAATGACTATACAACAAGTAATTAAGGAACTTACATCTTTGGAAAGTACAAATTTATTTGCTAAAATAGATCTGGGGAATTTCTGGTTGACCTTTTCCATCTTCCTTGTTAAAAAATGTAGGATGTAGATTACCTGGATTTCTGATCAGTAGTCCCCTTGCTGGAGTCCTGGTGTGGCACTGTAGGATAAGCACTAAACTGCTAACTACAAGAACAGTTGTTCAAACCCACCAGCCACTTCTCAGGAACTCTACACAGGTTCTCTATGAGTTGGAACTGACTTGATACAACTTAACAACAACAATCTCCTTGCTATTTGAAATTCCTAGAAAGCTGTTTTCTTATATTCCTACAGAAGTACTCCTTTTTGTCTCTACTTTCTCACAAGCAACTAATCAGTTATCAGGGAAGCATAGTACAGATGACAAGTAAATTTTATTCATCTTATATAAGAAGCCTGGAAGCGCCCTAGGGATTGGAGCACTGAAAACGAAACAAAAGGAATTCTTCCCTTCCTCCGCAAACCAAACTCACTACCATCAAGTCACCTCAGACTAACAGAAACCCTATATCAACCCTAGATGACAGAGCTGCTCCCTAGGATTTCCAAAAACGCAAATTTTTACAAGAGCTGATAGTCTCATCTTTTTCCCACACAGCAAATGTTGTTGTTGTTGTTAAATGCTGTTGCGTCAGTTCCAACTCATAGAGACCCTGTGTAGGGTTTCTGAGCAGTGACTAGTGAGTCTGAATCACAGACCTTGTGGTTCAAACCGACTTTGTAGTCCTGAACTTTACACCACAGCACCACACCAGTACTCCCACATAGCAACTAGTCTGGTTGAACTATCAACCTGGTAGTTAGCGGTCCAATGCTTAACACACTGCAAAACCAGTACTCTTTTAAAGGAATCCCAGAAACTGGAAGTAAGAGAAGGCATTCGGTTATTGATACATTCATCAACTAGATGTTTGACTTCAAATTTAAAATTTATATAAAAATTAAAAAAAATTAAATGACCAGTTGCCATAAACTAAATAAAATATTTCCCATAAATTTGATAGGTAGAAGCTTAAACAATATGAATAATAATATGCATAGCACAAGCTTTCATATAAGTTGATGGTAAAAACCCACCAAAGTAAATCTAAAAATGAATATAAAAAGAAGCTTCGAAAGTTCGTGAAAAATATATTTTTCAGTTCCATTTACCCATGAACTTTTTTTAACTCCCTCATATTATTCATTAAACGTTTGGCAGTTGAACATCTGAATAAGTATATAACACCACTAATGACAATAAGAAGGAGCTCTGGTAGTGTAGTGGTTATGAGTCCGGCTACCGACCTCAAGCTCAGCAGTTTGAAACTACCAGCGGCTCTGCGAGAGAAAGACGAAGCGTTCTGCTCCCGTAAAGATTTACAGCCTTGTAAACCCTGTGCAGGATCACTATGAGTCAGAATAGACTCCACGGTACTTAACAACAACAACACAATGATAATAGGAGTCCTGGTGTGGTGCTGTGGGTTAATGCGCTGTACTGCAATGTCATTTGAACTGCAAGGTTGTAGGTTCAAGCTCACAAGCCACTCCTCAGAAACCCTTTATGGCTCACTAGGAGTCAGAAGTGACTCGATGGCACTTAACAACAACAACAATGATAATAAATGAATAATTTGAGTTTTTTCTTATTACAATATGCAACCAGCCTTGGTTGAATTGTTAAGCACTTAGTTGCTAACCCAAAGTTGGTGGTTCAAACCTACCCAGTAGATTCAAGAAAACCTTCTTGGCTATATGCTTCTATGAAGATGAAAGCAAACAAAACCTCTGGGGAAGTTCTATTCACTATGGGTCAGAATCGACTAGACAACATCCATTTACATGACTATGACTCACACAGTTTTTTCTTTCTTTTGGTTGTTGTTGAAAGTGGAGGCTATGGGACTTTTCTCATATTGCTGACTGGTCTATATTGCTAACTGGTC